ATATAAGGTAATAAAAATTCAAATATAGTCAAAAATTAGGTGCTCACAGATACCGAATATGGTTCATCTTTAGACGTTTGCTGTCATATGCATTTAAGCACTTATGGTCCACGAGGTTCGTGAAAGAAATCTTGAGTACTATGGTCCATATATAATTTTAGTATATTTCATAAGTCAATTGCAATCTTTCAAAATTTATTTCCGAAAAAATTGTAATTCATCTTTACAACTTTTAATTTAAAAAAAGGAATGCAAAGGAGAAAAATTTACATGTGAAGGCCTTGTGTCCATCAAAAAATTGACCAGCTCACTTGAAAATTCAAATTTCAATCACAACAAGATTTGCTCACTAACTATGCTAAGACCTCTATCAAAAAGGCTTCAAACCAGATGCATCAAATTTGAATCTACTGGGCATCACCTTAATGTAAATGCATGAAAGAAAGATGGAAGGAAAGGAATCGTGATACCATGGCAAATTGCTCAAGAAAACCTAGGAGAAACAGCACACATTCATGTGCATTTGTAACCCAGCAATTGAAACCAGCACCATGTTTGCTTTCGTACACTATGCTAAATCGGACAGAAGGAATAGGTCTTTTGATTGTCAGAGAAATATATTCTTGCCCTCTTATCTAGTCAATGTAAGACTTTCATACGCAAGATCTAAGTAACTATAAAAATCTCAGTTTTATAATACACATTCACCCATATTCGTTTCTCCCATATCCGCACATGTCTAATATTGTTATTAAAGATGTGAAGATACCACCAGTATATTAGAGCTCTATTGAATACCACTCATCTTTAAGGATGGAATCACCTGCACACTATATAAGGTAAGGGGCCCAAAATGTACCCGGGTAAAGAATCCTAAATAGCCGATGCACTAAGGATCAAATACATATCACGAATGATGAGAAAACCCAACTAAATCTTTGGCATGCATGTAGAAATCCAACAAATAAAACGTCTGAAGAAAAAACATATGTCAACCAAAAGAACAGGAAACTAACGTATACCCATCAAATTGTGACTACCAACAAACAAAGGAAAATTACAGAAAAAAACTCACCAAAATGAATAGACTTCTACACGACTGTTTTCTTCTCCTTTCATCTCCGACAGATTAGATAATTGTTGAGCATGTCTGGAAGAACAGAAGAAAAGAAAAATGCAGGTGTTAATTAAAGATTATATCCGAACAAACATACATGATTGAAGCACTAAAACTAAAAATTTCACCAGAAAAGCAGAGAAATCGAAAAGGAAAACAAAAAGCAGATAACAAGCAAACAAATAATAATTAAATTAAACAGAAAAAACGTAGAAATACTAAGCAGAGAAACCTGCAGATTTAAAATAAACGCTGAGAAGAAATGATAGCAGTGAATAATAACTCACCATAACAGATTCCGGAAGCAGGAGACGGAGAGAATGAAAGGGTATTTGATTTTTAGTGTTTTTGCTATGTCTTCCTTTAACACGTGGAACCTTGGGAAGAAAAGGAAAAGGCATGATTTGTGTTGCCTTAGGTCTTAAAGTGGAAAAAATGGGATTCGTGGGTTACATCTGAAAATGAAAGGATGTGTGTATTTACGATGTTACCCTTCGTAGTACTACAAACCTTCACTTATTATATAGTTATCGTAGTACTACAAACCCGTTATGAAAATAATTGTTGTGGATGTCTATTTATTACCCCACTATAAATAATCTTCTTGAAAAAGATTATCCATTTAATATTCTGTTGAAATTTATCTACAAGCAGCTGATACATGCAGGTTGCAAGTAGCTCAATGAAATGATTTGCAGCAGCTTTTTATTAAACAGGCAGGTTGCAAGTAGATCATGCAGATAGCTTACAAGCAGCTAAAGAAAAGCCTTGCAGCTGCTTCCTGAAAAGCCTCGCAGCTGCTTCCTTTCTTCTATAAATAGAGAAGTTTTCAGTTCATTATGTACAACAGTTTAAAGTTGAATAAAAATATCAATCTCCCTCTATACTTGTCTTCAGTTTCTTTACTTTACTGCCTTTATTTTATAACACGTTATCAGCACGAATTTTACCATTTTGAACACTTATATTTAATTTATATTCGAGAATCCTAATTCGGCAAAAAGCAAGGAATTGGGAAGACCCATAAACCCCCCAAATGATACGAAAAGGTTGATTGTGCAATCTTAGGGATATATATAGGAAAGCTCTTTTTCTTTTAGTTCTATGTACAGAGGGATCCAGAGCAGAGGTTTATAAGGGTTCAAGAACGATTTGCTCAGATGCTTCGGCCCAGGGTCAGAGCTACTCTGGAGTATTTGTATCTTTCCATCGCCGTCACTCTTTTCTCTATTCTCGTCGTTATGCACGCCAATTATGTTCAACAGCCTGGCTGCTCAAGTGAGCTGTCTAGAGTGAACATCTCAGAGGCACAGCTTATTCAAAACAAATGTTCATCTCCAATGTAACGCCTCCAATGTAATGTGACGCTCTTAACTCCGTGGTCAAATCTTGTTTATTCCAAGTATCATAAAGCAGATTATATCCTTGAGGCGGTGAATTTTTTTTATATGGAGTAGTGATATAGATATCACTTAGAGTAGTGATGTAGATATCACTTACATATGAAGTGGTCAAATTTGCGTAGATTATTTGAGCCATTTGCTTATATTTTAAATATCTTTATCATCGCTTAATTTGTTATATGTTACGCATGCAGTACCTATTTTGATATTTATTTTCATCCTAATTATCTTAATAAAGGATTATAAAGTGGATAACATTGTTAGATCCACTTAAACTCTAGCAGAGTTTGCAAGAAATATACAACCGCCAGAAATGGTTATGTTTCGTATATCTCATTGTAACTAAATTTTGTTAACCACCAGAAGTGGTATATGCCTATGACCACCAGAAGTGATAATTTTGGCTTTCTATGATTACAATTAAAGATAAGCTAGAGAAATATTCTCTATATTACATGCATGCCTCGATTTGCTCCTGAACTAGTAAATATTTTAAAAGAGGTTGAAGCATCATAATTGATGTGATTAATGCGCGTTCAGATAATTATATTCGATTTCCTGAAGGATGAGAATTTCTGATAAATATTAATCCATTCCCTGAAGTGAATGTGACAATATTTATAAAGTCGTAAATATGAACGTGCTCTTGATATAAATATATTGCAATTCACCTCCAGAAGAGGTAATATGATTGAGAGAATATATACTCAATTTTTCGTATTTTAATTTGCTCCTGAAGAAGTAACACAATTGAAATTTTCTCCCGAAGCAGGAAAATATTATGAAATTGTGTTTTTTTGTGCGTAAATAAAATAATGAGCTATTCAAAGTTATTTTTGAAGCACATTTTCATTCCCTGTAGTGAATGAAGAAATACCATAACTCACCTCCGGAAGAGTTAGAATAACAGATGATATAAATATTATTTTTGTGGCATAAAGATCATTGTCGCACGTACCTGTTATACGTAAAACATCTTGGATAATTTTATTAAGTATCATTCTAAGGCAAAATCATTCTTGTAGAATACTTTCTACTACAATCACATTGATATATTATGATTAGTTGTTATTAACTACCCCGAAGAAAATAACAACTCATGTATATTTCCCTGAAGGATGTAATGACTATGTGGTTGTCGCTTTGATATAAAATATTCATATGTTAATGGCGTTTCTCCTGAAGGAGACACAAAGTTGGTGGTAAAAAATATTGAAATTCTTGATTTCTTACATTTATAAATTTAGAATTGTCTTTATATTGTTTATTTGATTATGATTTTCTCTCATGATACCGGAAGTGTCTGAGCAATATTTGATAGTACAAAATGTATCAACAACTCCTGAAGAGCTAGATATTTGTCTAGAAGACACATGACACCAGTAGTGTCCGATAAATATTAGATTGTGGATAATAAACGAAGGCTCTCGAAGAGCTTATATACAAATATGTCATTCTTATTATATGATTATGGTCAAAACATATGATGTAGTAAACCCGAAGTTTACTGATACAAATGGCTATCATATTGAGACTACAAATGATTAAAAGATTGAAAATCTTCACGTTTCCACAATCATATGGGGTAAATATGTATGTGAGAAGTTACCCGTCTTATTCTTTAAATTTGTACTACATCATGTATCACAGTATACCAGAAGTTTACTAATGCAAAAGCAGCCACAGTAAATCAAAAATTTACTGATACAAAAGTAGCCACAGTAAATTAGAAGTTTACTGATGCAAAAGTTTATGCCATAGTAAACCAGAAGTTTACTTAGAGATAGCACATGCCATGATAAACTTTAAGTTTTCATTTGCCATTTTTAAATGAGCTATTTGAGAATTCAGATAAGCATATACTGAAGAACTAGAAGATTCTTAAAGAATTCTCTTGTATTGCTTGTTCTCATAATAATTTGATTATACCAACTAAAGTTGGGACTACAATCCCCGAATTCTGAAATATATAAAAGGTGAATATGAGCTCATTCACCTATCATGTGAACCACTTATATATGCATATATAAGATGGTTACATGTATGTTTATATTGTCAACCTGCAGTTTGACATTTGAAATTGTTTTTCTCAATTAAGAGCATAATTTTCAGATTATGAAATCAAAATAATTCATTTTGATGATGCTGGTTTATATCCAAGCTAGTTTAGCATTGAATACCTCTTATTAATGGCTAAACTATTGCTTATGAGAACAAAGCCTCATGTGTTGGTCTAAGATTTTCTAAATTGCATACAACAGCACTTGTATGCATCAGACCAACAAAATATGATAAGTCATCCCCTCACAATTGGTTTAGGATCAGAAACCAAATATTTTTACTATCTAATAACTTTTGATGTGTGGTATATGATTAATTTCTCTACCACAATGCACAATGATATATTTTTCAAAGAAGATTTGGGATATATGTTAGTTTTTCTAACATTTGGGTGATGGAATAAAACAGTTGAAAAATATACTATATGAATCGAATTATCATTAATATGATCCTCGCTTAGAAGATAATTCAAGTCAAATGCCAGAAGCATTTGCTGATCCAAAATTAAATATCATATTTCAGCTGCAAATGCTCCTATTAAAATTAAGTTAATGAAGGATAGAGTTTACTGTACGCATGAAGCGTAGTAGACCAATCGGTTCCAAAGGTAACAATTCTTGAAAAGAATAGGAGCAAATGATCAAAATGATCATAATAAGGAGGAAATAAGCTCCGGAAGAGCCCACGACATAATATTTCATGAAACTCTGGAAGAAGTTCAGGTACCTGAAAATAAAGAAAGTGATGAGATCTCAACAAGTTATGTCGCTTGCGAACCGATATGAAATGATCGTCGACGATATATTTGATACAATATAGTGCACAATATTATAAAAAATTATGAGGATCGGACCTGTAGTCCAGACACCTGAAGATGCCATGCCATCTAAATGCAAGGCATAACCTATATGACTCATTTGATTAAGTCTATATGAAGATCCCTGAAGGATTTAAAATGCCTGAAGTATATAGTTTAAAGTATCGTGAAATGCATTCAATCAGAGTACAAAGATCTTTGTACGGTTTAAATGAATCTGGGCACATATGATATAATCGCCTCACTGAATTGATGAATGAAGGTTATGTAAATGAAGGCATTTGTCCATGCATTTTTACAAAGAAAACAACATCATAGTTTATTATACTTGTTGTTTATGTTAATGGCATAAATATCATAGGAACTTCAGAAGAGCTCCATAGGGAAAAACTTTGTCTTAGTCTGCAAATTGAATATTTAGCAGACGAGATCTTTATCCATGAATATGTCTATACAGAAAAGGTCTTAAAATGCTTTTACATGGACAAAGCGCACCCATTAAGTACACCAATTGGGTGTTCGATCACTCGAAGTGAATAAGGATCCGTTCTGACCTCCAGAAGAGGATGATGAACTCCTTGGTCCTGAAATACTCTATCTCAGCACAATTGATGCACTTATGTATCTTGTTAATGCTACAAGGCCTGACATTGTATTTTCTGTTAATTTACTAGCAAGATATAGCTCTTCTCCTACACGGAGACATTGGAATGGGATTAAGCATATATTGCGATATTTAAAGGGAACTCTTGATATGAGTTTGTTTTATGCTAACAAAGGTAGTGTAGATCTTGTTGGTTATGTAGATGCAAGTTATTTATCTGATCCCCATAAAGTTCGATATCAAATCGGGTATGTGTTTATATGTGGAGGTATTGTCATATCATAGCGCTTCACAAAGCAATCTATTACTGCTACTTCTTCAAATCATGTTGAGATAATAGTTATTCATGAAGTAAGTAGGGAATGCATATGGTTGAGATCAACGATTCGTTTTATTCGAAAAAAATATGGGTTGGAATGTGATAAAAGACCCACAATTTTATACGAAGACAATGCTACATGCATAGCCCAATTGAAGGGAGGATTTATAAAAGGAGATAGAACGAAGCACATTTCACCAAAATTATTCTATACACACAATCTTCAGAAAAATGGTGACATTGATGTGCAATAAATCCGTTCAAGTGACAATCCGGCAGATTTATTCACTAAATCTTTACCAACATCAACTTTTGAGAAGATGGTATACAAGATTGGAATGCGGAGACTCAAATATTTGAAACAAAGTTTTCATCAGGAGAAGTAAAATACGTGATGTACTCTTTTTTCCTTACTAAGGTTTTTTCCTACAGGGTTTTTCTTATAAGGTTTTTAATGAGGCAGCTAGAAATGCGTATTACTAAATATGTGTACTCTTTTTCCTTCACTAGAATTTTTCTCACTGGATTTTTCCTAGTAAGGTTTTAACGAGGCACAATACCTTTTAATGAACATCCAAGGGGGAGTGTTATGAAAATAATTATTGTGGATGTCCATTTATTACCCCACTATAGATAATCTTCCTGAAGAAGATTATCCATTTAGTACTCTGTTGAAGTTTATCTACAAGCAGCTGATACATGCAGGTTGCAAGTAGCTCAATGAAATGATTTGCAGCAGTTTCTTATTAAACATGCAGGTTGCAAGTAGCTCATGCAGACAGCTTACAAGCAGCTAAAGAAAAGCCTTGCAGCTGCTTCCTGAAAAGCCTCGCAGCTGCTTCCTTTCTTCTATAAATAGAGAAGTTTTCAGTTCATTATGTACAACAGTTTGAAGTTGAATAAAAATATCAATCTCCCTCTATACTTGTCTTCAGTTTCTTTACTTTACTGTCTTTATTTTATAACAAAATCTTCACTTATTGTGTAGTTAAAATAAAAATAAATATATATATATAGAATGAGATAAAATGGTAGCCACGTTTACATAAATGGTTGCCTTAGCTTTTTTGTATTTTTTATTTTATTTTTAATTCAAAATTGCCTTATCTTTTTAATTGTTTATAACAAAATGAATCTAAACCATAATATAGGTGGGTGGACACATGGCATAAATCGGTGAGTAATTTTTAGAAATCACTATTGTTTAGTGGTTATTAACTTACTATAGTTATCATATATATAATTACTTCCTATACCTATTATTCAGTTGTTACAGTAGTGTATTCATATGTATTCGCGCTGCTGTATTCATAAATACAGTTGAATACAGTAGCAAAAAGCACCTAAAATCAGGGCAGTCCAGTTGTACGCGCATGTATTCACATGTATTCATGAATATAACAGTAAAAAAAATGCCTAAAAATATGGCAGTCCAGCTGTACGCGCATGTATTCACATGTATTTGTGCTACTGTATTCATGAATACATCAGTAAAAAATACCTAAAATCAGGGCAATCCAGTTGTACGTGCATGCATTCACATGTATTCGCACGCATGTATTCATGAATACATCAGCAAAAAATGCCTAAAATCAGGACAGTTCAGTTATACGCGTATGTATTCACATATATTCGCGCTGCTGTATTCATGAATACAGTTGTATTCACATGTATTCGCGCTATGTATTCATGAATACAGTAACGGAAATCCCTTAAAAATAGGTATGTCAAGTTGTCTAAGAGAGAGGAAAAACGTAAATAGGCGTATTTCATGCCGCAATGGTAGTATATACCATAAAATACTTATTTTGCTATAAATATAAAAGGTAGCTATAGAAAATAATATTTTAAAATAATTTTAGTTTATAATAAATAGGGTAAAATTTCCTAAATCGATCTATGTATGGAACAATACTGGACCAATTTTCACTGGAGGGGATCTCATTCCCACACACATATATCGTATTTGGATTTTTTACACGCTTGATCCTTTTTTAACTATTGTTTAAAAAAAATAGTATCATTTATTGTTTATTCCATAAAGAGCATTTTTCCCCCATTATTAGCATATTATAAAAATTAAGCTCAGCATTTAATAAGTTAATTGACTCACTAATCACAAGAAGTAATTTTTTTGTCCATCTCCATTCTCCCTTTCCAACATTCATCTTCTTCGCTCCATTTTTGAAAATCTGATGTATATGTGAATGCCACCTAAATTCAAGATGTATTGATTTATACATCTTTTATACTTTGTATATCAAGTATCACTTTAATTCAAAATGTATTTTTATGTATATAATTGTTGTATATTTATTTGTGAAGTGCCGTCTTATTTTAAGATATATTTTAAATATATTTTATATGTCAAGTGCCATTTTAATTCAGGATGTATTTTTTATGTATATTTTTTTTTGTATATTTATATGCCATCTTAATTAAATTTAAGATATATTTTTATGTATATTTCACATATCTAAGTGTCATCTTAATTGAAGATGTATTTTTTATGTATATTTTTTATATGTTTTAATTCAATGTATATTTTTTATATATACGTTTTGTATATGTTAACATATATTATTATCGAAGTAAGATCTTTATGTTAAGAAAGGAAGAAAGAAGCAAGAGAAAAATTTAAGAAAGATAATTTTTAAAAAAACGAATGGAACAAATTTAGAAAATATATTGGTTTCGGCAGAAAACAAAATTAACAAGATGAAGAAAAAGATGGAAAGCTAATATATAAAGAGGGAAAAAAAAATATGATTTTTGTACAAAGAATTATTGATTTTTCATTCAAATTGCTTATGTTTAGGGATTAATAATTAATATTTCTATTTTAATGAAACTGTGTGCTACAAATATAAATATTTTCATGTCACAAATNGTGACCTTTTACTAAGGAGTAATAGATTTGTTCCACTCATTGGTTTTCTAAAACTCGTTCAAACTTCAATGATGACCTGTGTTCTACAACTTTCCATTTCTTTGACCGAATCACCCCATAGTTTTCATACATCCAGGTCAGCTGATAGCTTATTCGACAAGGCTAATATGGTCTTTTCAAATACGGTAAGACTTTAACGAGGAACAACCGAATTACATACGAGAGAGCTGTTAAGGCAGTAGGCCAGCATATCTAGCCGTTACACCTCTCAACCAATTGAAAAAGGGAAAAAACACAATTGTTCTACTTTTTAAAAATGACATGACCGTTGGTTCTCTTCCTCTCTTCATCAAAATCACATAAATCTCTGACACTTAGCTCTGTTCAGCGCTGGTTTTTCCTCCTTCATTTCTCTTCAAGAAAAAACAGAGGCATCAATGGCTGGAGATCTTGTTTTTACCCCTGAAGAAATGGTGATTGACAAGGGACTAGGATACCCAAAGGCCTATGCCAAGATCTGTAAAGACAGAAGCTTTGGCCCCTTCAGCCGCGGCCCTCCTTTCGCTTTCACTCCCTATTCTCTACCACATCATGAGGTAACATAAAGAATCAATTCAATTCTCTTTATTTCAAGATTAATCAGTCATTTTTCAGAAGGAGGAACTTGGTGCTCCGAATTATATCTAATTCACCAAATCTGATTAAATTACTGTATGGAGAACTTAATATGGCTTTTTCTGTCTCACCATAAAGAGTGGATTAATCTGTTCCCTCGGGAAAAAAAAATTCCCCCAATTTTATGTTGAATTTTCGTTGTATTTATGGTGCATATGATTTCTAGCTTCTAATTGCAAGTTAAATTCGCCTTCTTCATCCATTATAAAGCTTAAATGGACCTTAATTGGTAGTATAGTTATATCCCTAAGTGGATATCACGGATGGATTTAGGATTTAAACTCGATGGTTTTAACCTTTATCTTCTCACAATTACACTCAATGAACATTTACAATTACGGTTCGAATTTTAATATTTGTTGATATTTTAGTGACTTTTGTACATGGATATCTATGTTTTGTGCAAATATAGTTCAGTTGAACTCGGTGGATTATACATTGCATCCGCCTCATAGTTGAGTTAAACCTTGTGAATGTTATTCAATTTCTAACTCCAATTAAATCAGTGATTTTCAAGTAGCCAGTGTTCTAAAAACCACTTATCTGATATTGGAAAACAAGTGTCCCAGATTATAGTTTCCTTTAAAACAGTGAGGGGTCACTTGGTAGGGTGTATAAGAATAATGCTGAATAAGGTGTATTAGTAATGCCGGGATTAGTAATGTATGAGTTAGTAATGCAAGCATTAGTTATGCGGAGATTATTTTTTATCCACTGTTTGGTGTGGTGCAATAAAAATTAAAATGCCCTGCATAGCTTTTAAGAAAATTAGTTTTTAAAAATTTCCTTGTATTCTTTAGCTTTATAAGGGACTTTAAGGACAATTTTGTCTTTAACCGTGCTAATGCATGCATTAGTTATACCTTGGTTTGTTATGTATTAGTTATACAAAGGATAATACCAAATAAGTTGTATAACTAATACTTGCATTAATAATACGTAGGTTGAAAAAGTATACCAAACAAGGGATTAGTATTACCAAAAGCTAATGCATGCATTATTTTCTCTAATGCATCCTACCATATTTGTACTTAATTTTCTGGAGGAATTATGTGCTGCCTCAAATTTTGATCATTGTTATATTGATTGATAATAGGTTTTGAGAGCCAAAGAATTGGATGACATGTTCCCTATCATTGATCCAAATGCACAACCCAGTACAAAACCGAAGATTTTCCTGTCTCTTTTGTGGAAGCAACTCAACCATCTCGGGTAAAACTGGATTGTTCATGCAATTCAACTTATCCAATATGAATAATTAGGACATGCTTAATAAGAGGTTTCTCATTCTTGATTATAATTTTTGAACTCCAGGAATGCAGGGTTTGATCCTGAAGTATTTCGAGTAGACTCATATGGCAATGTTCTGTATTATCATGCTGATTCAGCTTCACCTCTGGCTTGGAAAATTGATCATTGGTTTCCTTGCTCCAGTAATTACTCATCATCTTTCTGCATCCTTCTGTTTTTCCGCGCAAAGTTTGACTGATGTACCTGGACAGTGTAAAGAAACTTTTACACTATAAGGTCACCTTTACCTGTTGTAAAAGCTTACACCATCTGTGTATATAAGTTAAACTCTTCTGCATTAGTCATTTTTTTCTTCATTTTATGAGTTCTGAATTTGTGACAATTTGGTGAAATTGCAGGAGGAGGACTAACTGTTCCAAGCAATCTGAGGATAATGCAGTGGCAATCATGTAAGAAAAAGAATAATAAGCTGGAATTCCTTATACCCTGGTGGGATCTGCAAGTTGGTATATCCATAAACCAGTTCCTGTCCATCTTTGCTATATCAAATTCAGATTTCAGGTTGGTTGCTGTATGTTTGTTGAATGTTTTTCCAGTTTAAAAGTGATATTTTGCAACTGCTAGATGCTTACTGTCATTATTTTCAGGCGCAGAGCATTTTCATGGTTGTTTTCTGAAGGTGAAAATGAAGAACTGAATGCCTCACAAACTGTTGATTCCCATGTTTTTCCTCATCATTTTGTTGAATCGCAAGAAAAGATTGGCCTGGCTCCAGCTGCTGTTGTTCTAAGTCGAAGAGAGTCTTTTGATTCTTCCTCTACTCTGAAATCCTTGGATATAAATAGAAGACCAAGATCAAACACTCCTATTGTAGGTTAGTCTCCAAATAATAAACACCATCATCTGCTTCTTGATTTTAATGTCTTGTGAGAATAGACAAGTGTATAGTTCTATTTTTTCAAGTGACTGAGAAATCCTCGAGGGCCAGTGGGGCCCGTCCCTCTACCCCTTCTCCACTTAATTACCAAAGGCTTGGGGCGGTGGTGAGACTACTCTTTGTTTCTTTGGTTTTGCTTTTTAAAGTTTTTCTTTTGTGACAGCTTACAAAAGATCAAAGGCGGATTTGAAAGAAAATGAAGATCCAGGCATGGTGACCAATCCATACCAAGCTATTGTGATGGCTAGAGATTCTTTGAGACACAGAGAAGAGACTTCAAAGATGCAGGCAGAAATTCAGAAATTAGACGATGAAGTGGGTGAATTAAAGCAAAAGACTGAGGAGGAGAAAGCAGCCGTAGAAGAACTGGAGCTAGTCCTAATAAAGAAAAGGAGGAGAGCAGAGAAATGTCGACGACTAGCTGAGGCACAATCTTCTTATAGAGCTATGCTAGAGAAGATGATTCGAGATGCCATGCACCAGTAAGATCACTGAAAAACATGTCCACTAGAAAAATAAAAATTCACGAGTATTTGATAATAGAGATAATTACATTCTTGGGCCGCCTAAAAAATAATAGCCGGAAAATGTATAAATATACATATAATTTTTATTATATGCTCTTACTCTATTGGTTTATGTTACTTGTAGGAGTGTTGTGTATAAAGAACAAGTGAGGTTGAATCAGGCAGCAGCTAATGCTCTTATGGCAAGACTTGAAGCTCAAAGAGCAATTTGTGATTCTGCAGAGAGAGAGCTACACAAGAGATTCAAATATAGAGATGAACTCGAGCAACAGATAAGACCTGAGTGGGACCAAACAAGAAAAAGATCAAGAATGGATGAATTTCCAGATGAAGAGGGAGATGAGAAGACTCTCCTCTGTCTTCCTGGCAGCAGCTCAAGGGCAGAATTAGAGAAAGATGATCAGAGAGTTCTATGCTTGCCAGGGATGAAGTCCAATGACAGTATGCATAAGGAACTAAGAGTATTTCTGGACGAGGAGCAGAAAGCATATGAGGCAAGACTCTCTCTAAATGGAGGACAAGAGAAAGAAAGACAAAGCGACAAGGCTATTGTGCAGGCAAAGGACGAGGATCCAACAGAGAAGAAGATTCAAAATACAGAAATACAAGAAGAAGGGATAACATACAATGCCGGGTTTCCCACTTTTCATGAAGCTGAAAGAGAGGAGGAGGACGACGAGAGCAGAAAGCAACGTGGGAAAGGAAATGTTGAAAAATGGCTTCAGTTGCTTTTGGATAACTCCCAAGAACCTACCAACTTTAGTGTTCAGACTGCTGAGGAGAACAATAATGGTAAGAAAACACTTAATGCAGGAGAAGATGAAACTAATGAGATTGATGGCACGATAAGAAAGCAGAACATCAGACATCCACAGAACGAGATAAAGAAATCCAGATCAGAGGAGTCAGAAATAGCTGAGAAACAGCCGCAGAAAGCGGCCAAACAGCTAGATAAAGAAATCCAGATCAGACATCCACAGAACGAGATAAAGAAATCCAGATCAGAGGAGTCAGAAATAGCTGAGGATGTGAAACAGCCACAGAAAGCGGCCAAACAGCTAGAAGAAACAAAAAGAGAGGAAATTGTTGAAATGGCAGAGAGGAAATCATCATTTTCAAACAGAGAAATTGGAAAAAAAGAAGAAAGAACTGAGCTTAAAGGTCAAAAAACACCATCCAGGAATCCTCCTCCCTACAGATTACTTCCAGAAAGGAGAGCCAGTGATGTAGGTTCTGCTTCTAAGGGAGTAGTTGGGAGATCTAGCAGCTGTGAAAGAACTGAAAGGAAGAGCGAAAAGGAAAAGGAAAAGGAAAAGGAAAAGGAAAGGGAACTCTTGAGGTCTGACAGTGCCAGGTTGTTTAGGCGTATCCCGTCTTCCCCATCTCTCCTCTTGAGTGGCATGAAAAAGAGAGTGGATTGCATAAGGAAGAAGCCCTCAGTTGTTGGTGATGATAGCGATGAAGGTCGGGTAGGAGGTAATGGCTTCATAAGATCATCCATCAAAACAATCAAGAAAGCAGTGAAGATGTAGGCCCTGATACATAGAACTAAGTTCATATAGTTTGGTTGTTATTGCTAGTGAGTGTTGGCTACCAAAATGAGTGTGTGAATGGTGCGCGCTTTATTTCTGTGTAAAATAGTGTACTATTATTCTTTTTGAAGGATTTGTAATAACAGCTTGTTGTTTGACGTAAGTATCCTTTGGAGTTTGAAAACATGTCCGGTTATGTTTTACCAAGACAAAATTAGATCGTGCAGAAAGATAAGAGGAAAGGTTTCTGGCACAATTCTTTCAGTCAACAATTTTGAAAAGACAAGTAGTTTTGTTTGTTTTCATGACCCTCCATGTTCATGCAGTTCTACACGCAACAACATGTACTATTATCTAGACAAGCTTCCCCGCTCTTTGAGCACAAAGTCATACCACCACCAAGATATACAGGTTTCTATATCCACTTCGCTAAAGTAACAAAGGACTAGCGTCTATCTTCGAGTATGATAGAAAGGTATGTGCTATATACAGTGCATCAGGCATCTCTATGTTGAGTAAATTGTCTTTTGAGATTGCAAACATTTCACAATGTTCTAGCTTTCAAGATCATTACCACAGGGGAAATAAACATTCCTGCAGAAGGGCAGTTGATGTTATCTGCGGAAGCAACAGACGTGCAGTGCTGGACTGTGGATGAGATTTAGCAGTCTACCACATCATTAAATATCAGCAATAGCACCTTCGGGGGTGTATTGAGTTCTCTAGCCAGGAGCTAATTCAGCTTCCATTCTATGTATACCTGGCTCTGCTCGCTCACAAGGAACAGATTCTGTTTTTCTTACTGTGATTCGGTTCTCTTCGATTATGAATTTCAAGTTTCTCCCAAATAATTTTCATCCCCACATGTGCATCTTCCATCCTTAAAATGGTGGAAATGCTCAGTGTCTCTAACTGAAATCTCCCTCCGGACAACCTCAGAGATAAACTTGATTGTGTCATGACAGCTCTTGCACATATAGAGATTCTTTGTGACCCAAATTGGTGTCCCTGGAGCAGTATTTATAAGCCCAAATGCAATAGCCAGTCTCTCGCTGTGTCCACAAAAGATCTCGGCTTTTGAATCTTCAACCTCATTTACTATATATCTTTCTGATTCACTACGACGTGCTGTTTTCATTTTTTCATAAAATCCTTCCAAAACCGCATTGATTTCCTTAATTTTGGGGTGGAAATTATCACCACTAAGGAATGCATGTACATTTCCCTTTACTTCTATCCAGCTGCAACCAGGATCAACAGTCAGTCCTCTTTCTATCATAATCTTCCTTAACGTTGCAACTTCATCCCATCTGCCACTGTCGGAATAGAAGTTACATAGGAGAACATAATACCCAACACTTCTCTCATCAGTTTCAAGAATATGTCTAGCAGCTAGTTCTCCAAGTTCAACCTGCCTGTGGATCCTACACGCATTCAATAAAGCCCCCCAGATAGCAGAATCAGGTTTCACAGGCAATGTTATAATAAAATCATAAGCATCCTCCACTAGACCTGCACGGCCTAGCAGATCAACCACACAAGCGTAATGCTTCAGATTTGGAACAACACGATAGTTATTCTCCATGTTATTTAAATAGTCAAGGCCTTCAGTCACCAACCCAGATCTACTACAAGCACGTAATAGAGAAATGAAAGTAATCTCATCAGGCTTTACTTTTGAAGTTAGCATTCCATCGAAAAGTTCAACCGCAAGTNATAATGCTTCAGATTTGGAACAATGCAATATTTACTCTCCATGCTATTTAAATAGTCAAGGCCTTTAGTCACCAACCCGGATCTACTACAAGCACGTAACAGAGAAATGAAAGTAATCTCGTCAGGCTTTACTTTTGAAGTAAGCATTCCATCAAAAAGCTCAACCGCGAGTGCACCTTGCCCTCGCTGAGCATAGCCAGTCAGCAAAATATTCCAAGCAGTAACATCCTTTTTCTGCATATTAAACAGATTCAGTGCAGGGGCAATCCTTCCACACCTCACATAGAAGTCAAGGAGTGCATTGGGTAAAAAACCATGAAATGCCATAGCGTTCCTCAATACATATGCATGTATTTCTTTACCACACATCAGTGCACCGATTCTAGAACATGCAGAGAGGACAGACACTAAGGTAACGGTATTGGGATCCTGATAGCGTTTCATTTGACTAAACAAAATCAAAGCTTCCAAACTGTGATTATTAATCCGAAGACCAAGAATGATAGATGTCCAAGATATGACATTTTTATCTGGTATCCTGTGGAAAATTTCCAATGCCTTGTCAATACAGTTGCACTTCGAATAAAAGTCGATCAGAGTGTTTGAAACAATCACGTATGCTGTAAGTCCTCTCCTTTCGGCTAGTTCATGAAGCTTAACACCCATTTCTAGAAGGCCCAATGAAGTACAGGCAGATAGAACAGAAGCAATAGTAATCTCATCCGGCATGACACCTTCTAGCTCCATCATTTTGTACGTCTCCACAGCCTTCTCAGGAAACCCATTACTCTCATAACCCGAAATCATTGCAGTCCATGAAACTACATCTTTACACTGGATCCTATCAAAGATCTTCTCTGCTTCCTCCCAACTCCCAATAGCCGAATAAAGTTGAATGAGAGAGTTGTGCACCGAAACATCACTATAAAAATCCATTCTTGACACGTACCCATGAAGCGCCTTCCCTAAACTCTCATCCCCAAGAGCCTCACAAGCTGAAATCACACTTGTCATGGTCATCAAATCCGGAAAAAATCCAAATTCCCTCATCGACGAAAACAACTTCAACCCTTCCGAAAACTCATTGTTCTCAAAGTAACCTGCAATCATAGCATTCCAAGAAATTGTATCTCTCCTAGGCATTCCATCAAACACCATCCTCGCAATGAACACATCACCACATTTCACATACATAGTAACCAAAGCATTAACCACATCAATTTCCGACTCATACCCAAATCTAAAAACATGAGCATGTATCTCCCTACCCATTTTCCAGTCAGGCAAGCCACCACAAGTCCTCAAAACACACGGAAACGTATACACATCAGGTCTAACACCAACCCACAACATCCTTTGATACAAATCCAAAGCCTCATCAAAGTAACCATTTTTCGCATACCCACCAATCAAAACATTCCAAGAAAACACATCTCTTTCCTCCATTTTCCCAAAAACATACCAAGCATCACCCAAATTCCCCAGCCTAACAAACATGCTCAACAATGCATTTCCTAGTCTCAAGCTTAACTGGGACATACAGTTAAGTATACATGAAAAAACTTCACATGCTTCGTTAGATGCCCTCTTAAATTCACAAAGCCTAGCTAATAAAACAAATGTTTCTTCTTCTATAGTCCCATGAAGTTCTTTTACTGACTTTAAGAATATTATGGCTTGTTCTAGCTGGTTGTGGGAACATAGCTGGATAAGATGGGAATTGGGGTCAGTGGTGGGAGTTGAGGTGGAGGAGGAGCTGAGGAGGAAATTTTGCTGGGTTTTTTTTAAGAATAAAAGGTGGGATTTTTGGAAGATGTGAGAAAAGTTTAGAGATTTAGAAGAATGGAGTTTAGAGAATTGAGGGTTTGGGAGGTCTAAGGAAGGGAGGGAAGTAGTTGGGGTTTTAGCAGAGACTGCCATATCGGGAGGTGTAACGAAGGAGCATGTAGGATATTTTTATCAGCCGGGGTTTAAGGAGATGGTTTAAACGGCTATCAAACGCCAATAGCAGTTTAGCCGATAAGAGATACTTCGAAATTCCCTATTCGGCGTCGTAGAGAGTATTTTATATTTTGGCTAACCATTTTTCTGGGGTGTCGTGATATAAATTTTAACTGATAGAAATTGAAATTAGTTTGTTCTTAATATAAATCATCTCCTCCTCCTCCTCCTCTCCTTCTTCTTTTAATTAAATTAATTCAACAAGCATATTTATTTTAACATGTAGAAATTAGAATTAGTTTCTTGCTATTGGAAAATGATAACCTTCTAGATCGAACAATTTGGAAAAATTTGGTTAGGGTTTTCAACGCAGAGAGAGGATACTTTCATATGAGAAAAACAAAATGAGAGAAAAATGCCGATGGATCCTTCTAGATCCAACACTGTATATTTATATAGTGGGCCTCAGTCGGGTGCCCAATACAATTAAATTAGCCTCCTAACTAATACACTAACTAAAACAAGCTGAAACAATATTTACAAAGATAGCCAAAATAAATACTATGGCCTATTATATGACTAGCCACTAAGTTTGTGGTTGGGACTAGAAGCTAAATACTCCATCATGTCAACACCCCCCTCAAGTTGGAGGGGAAAACCATCTGCAACTTGGATAAGAAATGGTGATGAAGATTGCCAGGCAAAGGTTTGGTGAGTAGATCAGCCAACTGCTTGGTGGTAGAAACATGAAATAATTGAATTAGCCCATCACCAAGCTTGTTCCTAATGAAATGGCAATCAACCATAATATATTTGGTCTGTTTATGAAAAACATGATATTTGGCTATATGCAGGGCAGCCTGATTATCACAAAAGACATAAAAATAAAGCATAACAGGAACAACAAAATCATTCAAGAGCCTGGAAAACCAAGTCAACTCAGCAACCACCTTGCTCAAAGCCCTGTATTCAGCCTCAGTAGAAGAAAGTGAAAACAACATGTTATTTTTGGACTTCCAACTAATGAGGATACCACCCAAAAAATACATAATCCAATGATAGACCTCCTAGTGTCACGGCAAGCAGCCCAGTCACTATCTGAATATGCAGTGATAGATAAGTCAAGAGAATCAGAATAATACAAAACCAGATCCATAGTGCCCTTGAAATATCTCAGAACATAGAGAGTATCATACATATGAGGGACCCTAGGAGATTTCAGAAATTGACTCAAATGTTGAACAACAAAACAAATACCAGGTCTAGTATGGGTGAGAAAGAGCAACTTCCCCACCAGACTTCTATAGGACTTAGGTGTAGGGAGCAAATCACCAAAATCAACATGCAATTTAGTGTGCAACTCCAAAGGACAGACCGCAGGAGTAACAGAAGTGCAGCCAAACTGCTGAAGCAAATCTGAGACAAATTTCTTTTGATTGAGAACAATCCCACCAGAAACATGACACACCTCAATGCCTAGGAAATAGTGCAAAGAGCCAGATCTTTGATCTTAAACTCAGAGTCTAGGAACTGCTTTAGAGAAGAAATCTCAACAGTATCATCCCCAATAATAATGATATCATCAACATAGACAACCAAAAGGACCAAATGCCCAAGATTACCTTTGACAAACAGGGAATAGTTAT